CATCCCACAAAATGCATGCAAACAAAGAGAAAAGAAATATACAATAAATAAGAATATTTTGTAAACAAATACATATAGTCACATGCACAAGGTGGCTCACACAACCTTTACTTATTTTGATTTTTTTCCCAACCTTTTTCTATACATAAAAAGCAGGTATGGTAAATACATGTTTAGAAGATACATGGACATCACCATGGTTCTCTCTCTCTCTCTCTCTCTCTCTCTCTGCCTCTCTCTTTCCCTTTCAGTGTGTGTTATACTGAGAGATCAGAGCATGTTGAGAAGAGCTTTTGGCTTTTCTCTCTGAGGATAAAGCTTGTTCTGGCCTTGTGCTGCTGAATCCTACTGCGGCACTGTCCATGGTGCTGAATCAGCTGGAAAGGTCTTTGGCTTTTTGTTTTTCTATACTGTGCCTCCCTTTCTCTCTAACCCCCTTTTCCTCCTCAAAAAACTTTTTTTTCCCTGTTCTCTCTGCCACAGTGTCAATCTGCTTTCAATTTTTCTCTTCGGTTCGCCAAAAGTTTTTATCCTTCAAACTCCACATGCCCTCTTGTTATGAGGGAAAGTACTTGAAAAATAGATTGTAGTGAAATTTATGAATTGGAAAATGGAAAGGATATGAATAAACAGAAAGGCATTGGTTTTTTCAATGTTGTGACACCACAGCTAAAAGCTGAGTTATTTCAAGTTTTTAAAACATTTCATATTTTTTCCATTATGTTTTATCTTAAATTCAAATCCTCACACTTACTTTGTATAATTTCAAAATAGATATCTGTAGTGTTTCTAGCTGTTGCAAAATATAGATATTTAGAGTATTTTCAAAAATACTCTAAGGAAATGGCTCATCATTTAGTCACTAGTGTTATTCCTTGAAAACCACTACAAAATACGCCATTTCCCTAACATTGAATGATAAGTTACAATTCCAGTTTTAGTCCTAAAATTACAGCTCCTTACAAGCTACCCATACTAAATAAAGAATGTAGAGCATATGTCTATGAAAGTTTCCTTATATGCCTTTGTTAAAATTTTGAAGTATATTAAATAAATTATCAATCTCTGGTGTTCTTTTTCTCACCAAAAGACTGTGTCCATCTTTTATCACAATCTATAAACAAGTATAAGAGTTTCCATTTGTAATTTGCCACAAGCCATGTTGAGGACGAATCAAATGTGGCAGAAGTTATCCTGATCAGATGATACCATCATTCAACCTTTTGCCCAATATGCAAAACACCATCTGTGGCTTCAGAAAGAACACCCAATCATCAGAATAAGCATGTCATCAGTGTACCGAAATGTTGCCATCAAACTATGGGACAGGGAAGCATGCATATTTGCTAAGGAGACTGATGAAGCAAAAATAAATAAATAAAAAATGGGGGAGGCGGGGGCATTTTTGGAAGAAAACTATTAGAAAGCAATGGTGCAATGGACTTATCAATAATCGCTTATCAATAAAACATTGATAAGAAAGAGTTCCCACCTGATAACCCCATGGATGAACCTGTCCTCACTGAAAAAAAAACAATTGTTTCATGTTAGCAGAGTAGGACCTAAAAAAATTGTGTTAAAGTAACTAAAGGTGATTAAGTAAATGCCAAAAGCGGTTGCATTATTTTTTTTCAGTGAACGCTTCTCTACAATTTTTAAGATCACTAGCTTAGATCAGAGACTGAAACACCAAGTCCAACAAGCTCTATTATAACAAAGAAATAAAAAAAAGGTGTTAGACTTTCCTTAAGATGAGATCAACTGATTTTTATGTCCATGAAGATTTAATTCAATTCATAAATAATGTGAATGTAAAATGGACTTAACGCTATGATTTGAAAAGTCTCCATATACCTGTATAATAGCTCATGCTCCTTTTTTTCTTACCAAAGATTACATCATCTTCATCTAATCTATGACCATCCTCCAAATCGTTTTGTATGTTTATTTCAGATCTTTTCTTTTATCCTCAGTATCCACACACACACAGGCTTAAGCTCACAAACAGCTACAATCTTGAGCTATTTTCTGTTCTGTCAGCAATACACCATGTAATTTATCATGTACCCTGCTAATGAGATAGAATACAAACCCTTTATTATCCATGAAACCCTTCAGAACTTTGAAGCCCACTAATCTGACTCTTGTGTTGGCTATTTTTTTCCCAGTGGTTGCAAACTGTGAAAACATGTCATGCTGTAACAAATTGTTGTTGTTCACTAATATCTCTCTGTGTTAATATAATGACTGTAAATCAAAAGATGTTGAAAAATGTTGAAGAGATCTAAAGTTCACTTTTTATGTTGGCCATTGTTCGTCAGTCTCCTGTTAGGCAAAAGATTATTTGGGTTTGGTACAAATGAACTGAACATTAAATAAAAACAGTGTCAGAAGTCCAAAAAAAAACTACAAAACCTCTCAAATTCCTCAACCCCAATAGATCGAGACAACTTTAAACATTTACGAAATATGGATTTATATCAGCGTACATTTAAATCAAATCATTACAGTATTTTTTATTGTTCATTTGTTTTATACTATCACAAGCTGAAAATATATAGACTCTACAGTAGATTAAAAAAATAATAATAAAATAACCCACTGGGGTTAGATTTTGATTGATGAAAAACAAACTTCTTTTGAGGACCATCCCTGTTTATTTAAATAAGGATAAATGGAGCCACTCTTATTTACTCGACTGTATTTCGGGCTGCCATTTGGATACCTGGATATTAGCATTTGACTGTAGCCGTTTTAGTTGTGAGGCATTAAAATGGAGAGTGATGCTTAAAACATAATCAACTGATTGCTAATCAAGAGTAAGTCTGCTAACAGTATAATGCCATATGAGACTAATTACATGATTATTTTGTAATATTATCTTTTTCAGACAGCGTTTTTTTATACTAACATTGAGAGTCACATAGAGCTATTCCCTTCATAGCTTGTTTTTGTGTTTGAACACTTTATTTTTTTTGCTCTTTACATACATGGAATGTTACATTTTCAAATAATAATCAGAAAATCCCCCTAGCTGGTATGTTGAAAAATCTCCCCGCCTGTGGGTGTTAAGAACAAGAAAGTAGCCATATTCTAGTGAGACTTTTACAAGGAGTAAAAAATTATGAAGGTGTGTTCTGTGGGTCCAATGAATATTTCACTGGTAAAGTCTTCTCTGAATTCCTTTAAGCAAAATGTACTTCTCCATAAAGTCCAGATTTGTGGCTGCCAGGGGAGCTGCAGCGCTCAGGGATCAAGTCCAATAAATATTTGCTACCCCTGGTTGTGGGTTGTAGGACTTTTACCACCCTTGCCACACTTACAGCGGTGCACCTCTGTGGGACCAACTAGCTCACATGGTTCCACTCAACACAAACACACTTATATTCACCCAAATACACACACCAACAAACTAATAATGAAATTGGTTTAATTTTATACGAATACAGGCTTCAGTCACAATAATGTGGTTAGTGTGCTTTGATGCTTTTACATTTAGATTTGATAAAGTTAATCAAGCATTTAGGATATATTTTTTTTTTTTTAGAAATCCTTATAAAGCTGCCCTAACATATTTAGACAAATATATTCTCTGTAAAGTATGGCTAAAATATAGTGATAGGGCATAAAAAAAACGAACATAAAACAGTCCAGATTTGTGAATATTTTTGAGACAGTTTTTTTTGCTTAAAATGAATCTCACAAGAAATAACTCTACCTTAATTTTTACTAAATTGTCCCCCTCTGAAACAAAAGCAAAACATGCCGAAATTACTTAGTAACATTTATTTCTTGACAATTACATTGCTTTATGGATTGTGTGTGCATCAGAACTGACATTTAATCTAATTAGGACAGTTCCTCTGTCTGGGTATACAGTTATAATCTTCATTTTGTACATGGCAAAGATTTGGAAATGGAATAAGAGGGTGTCCTATTTTGATAAGGCTGGAGCCATGGATGTCTAATCATCTGCTAATATGTATGATGTAAAATATGAAGATGTGGCAGACTGGAGATGTATAAAATGCCTTTTTAACTATTAATCAGGGCCACTTCCTGAGAGGTGAGCAGCTGCCATTCTGGAACCCTAAGCAATTTCTCTGATCTGAGTAAGATTACAATTTCTATCAAAATCTGTTGTCATGTCTCCTGGTTATTTAATACATATAAGTGTTATTTAAAGAGTTTGTCCCGAGTGATCTCTTTTCAGGGAAAAGAACCGGAAAGATTGAAAAAGTTAATCAAGCATTTAGGATATTTTTTTTAGAAACCATTTTATACAGCTGCCCTAAACATATATAGGCAAATACATTCACCATAAAGTATACCTATAAATAAGGTGATAGGGAATAAAAATAAACAAAAAACAGTCCAGATTTGTGAAGTGTGCAAGTAACAGTGAATATTTAAATGATGCTTCCATGAGTTGTGGATCTTTGCAGCTCCTCCAGAGCCACCATACTCACACAAGACTTTGAATAAAGTATTGTTCTAAAGAATATTTTTGAGACAGTTTTTTGTTTAAAATGACTCTCACAAGAAATAACTCTACCTTCATGTTTACTAAATTGTCCCCTTCTGAAACAAAAGCAAAACATGGCAAAAATACTTCAAAACTTAAAGGAAATTAAAAAAAGAAATTAAAATAAAAATGGGTAAAATGTATTAATTGACGATTGTGTTATGGATTGTTTGGGGTCAACATGAATAACACGTTTTCTTAATTGCACAGCAATTGTTTCTTTGTTTTCATTGCATAAAAACTTACAAGCAGTAACTTTAATCATGCTCCACGCGTCCCCGCCCTTCCCTGCATCACCTTTGGCCGTGTGGACTGGAGCTTCTCCTGGCAGACCCTAAACTGGGATGATCGCATCACCCACCAGCGTCATATCATACCCATCTGCTATTAGCAGCTTGCCGTCTAATCCTGGAGCAACGACTGGTCCACAGACAAGGCTGCACGCTGAAACAGGAGAGGGAGGGAGAAGGAGAGGCTTGAGAAGGAGCTGGTGGGCGTAGCGCCTCGCGGGACAAACCGCCGCACAGTGTGAAAGTAAGTGCAGGAACAGGGACGTGTCGTGGAAGCGGATTTTTAGCGAAATATTAAAAGAGAGTCTGTTTTCCAGTCTTGAGTTTAGATCGCGTTTATAGATGGGTCACACTGCTGGTGTCCAGCAGATTTCCTAGGAGGAAAGGATGCGGAGAGAGAAGAGAGGTCAAGACAAAGTCACTTCTGGCACCGAAAAGAGCTGAAACCCCGCATATAACGCGGGGATCGTATAATTGAATTTATTTATAAATTATACTCCTGATTTTCTTAATATTTATTTTTTTTTATCCGCTCGAGAAACCTTAGCTGTATAACAGCCTTCATCGACCCGGCTGGATTATTCTTCCACAGTTGCATGCAGAGATGAGTAAAATGTTTTCCTTGGTGTGTAGCGGGGACAGCTGAATGGAGACGCGCGGCGCATCTCCCACAGAGAGCGCTCCGACAGACGCAGCGCGCTGCGCTTTCTGAGTTCCGCTCAGCAACCTTCAGACACCGGATTCCAGCACTATCAGTCCTCGCCAGCTGCGTTTTTTTTTACGCTTCTGATTAACCGATCGCGTGGAAAGAAAAAAAAAGACACGAGGAGAGATCTGACATGGAAACAGAAGAGAGCGGCTGTGCGCCGGTTTAACTGGAGCATCACATCCATTCTTGCATTCCTGTCCCAGCTCACTAGTGAACCGCTGTGGGGTAGAGAGCCTGCCACCGGGCGGTTAAGAGGGTCTTTTTGGTGCATACTCAGCGGGAACTAAACTGAAACGCCTTGTTTCCCCTCACCATCCTGAAGGAGCCTGGCGCGCAGTGGAAAACACTGAGAAAAGTGGATATGATTGCTTATTTGGCTTAAAGGCGTGATAAGGTGGAGGATTATTTAAGGAGGAGAGGTTTTCACCTGGATCATCAAGCAAGAAGAGATAACAGGAGACGCACAGGTACAGACTTTATTTTATTCTCTGCACAGGTTATTTCTCATCACCCATTTCTTGCATTGAATAGATTAATAATTGCAAGCAAAATGTCATTCTCCTTGATTCCTATTTTGCAATTTTGGAACATAAGTCAAGTCCACAGAAGAGATGGCAGATAAGGGAGATGATGGCGCTGCTGCTTTCTCTCCCACACGATTCAGATAGATATTGATACCCTTTTGGTTTAAAGACTAATGAAAAAGAGGACTGTCATGGTGCAAAGGGAGTCTGAAACAGGTGAAAAAAGAATTACAGACAGGAATCAGAGTTTAGTCGGGGATGGATGGCAGATGGCTGGGTGAGGAAGGTTGAACTGAACACAAGGGAAAAGGGGGTCAGGGTGTTGAGAGTGGAGAGATTAAAAGGGAGTTGTTAGGTTGGGGGAGTGGATGCTCAGATGGAATACAGAAAAGGTGTAGGAAGAGGAGATGAGCTGGATGATGGGGGGGTGGGTAATGGCAGAAGAGAGGGCGGTCTACTGAAAAGGTAAGTGGAGAAAATATGGGAGGACAGCAGAAGGTAATGGAATAAAATAGGTTGGGAGGGCAGAGTTGAACATTTGGGGTGGGTAGGTACCAAGACAAATGAAAAAAGATACAGAGAGGACGTTGAAGCTTGTACTCAAGTAAACCCCCAGGAGAAGTTCTAAAAGTCGGTGTAAAATATCTGTGCTACAGCAATAAAAGAAATATTACTGGGGACATTCCAGTGCATGCAATATCTGTTCCCACATGGACACGTGAAGGAACACACAGACATCCTACAGCATTCAGGTTTAGTCTGCTGTGTCATCTCATCAGCTATTCCATACCTGGTATATGTTTCTCATTGATAATTCAGACATCTGCATTTTAACTGGGTTTGGCTATGGATTAGAGCTCCATCTAAAACACGTGTAATCACAAATGTAAGTTTTCAATTTTAAGGAAGATGGATGCAATGATCTTAATTCTTGTCCCTCCACCTGTGTGCCTGTGGCTCAGGTGTGCTTTATTATTTCTGCTGAAAAAAAAAAAGCCAAAGTGTTCAAAGACTCACAGCCTACTGCTTAATAATTAAATTATTTTTCAAAACATAACATACCTGGTTTTGAAAAATGTGGAATAAAATTTTAGCAGATACTTAATTGTACTGAACTTGTATGTCTCTGATATAAATTATTCAAATTTACTAAATAGAAGAGAACAAAAACAATTTTGAAAAAGCCTCATATTATATGGTTATTTGAGGATGTTGATAAATAAACTGCATCAAAGGAATATAACACACAGACATTTTTGTGGAGAAGTTTTAAGTAAAACAAGTTGTGAAAAACAAGAATGGCACAAATCTACTATTTACCTGCTCATTTACCTAAATATTATGCGGGACAAAGATGCAAAAATAAAAAATGCAGCTGATGATAAATCAAAAGGAGTCGCAGAGATCAAAACCTTTGTTGTGAAGGTTAGTTAACAGTTAACAAATCTAGGCTTTATGGATAAGTTGGGTAAAGATAGGCATTGATAGAAGAAAATAAAAAGTCAAATTTACAGTTTTGTTAATCCAAAAAGACAAGTAGTTGACTTTATGTGTTGCAGAAATCTAATCCGGATCTTTCTAAATGTTCATTATTCTTAAAATGTTGTCCATGAAACACAGTGGAGGCAGCATCATCTTATGAAGATACCTTTATTTCAGAAGGAACAGGAAAGCTGATCATAGATAATGGGGAGATGGATGGATAGAGATAATACATGACAATCCTGGAAGAAAACCTGCTGCAGACTAAAGAAAAGAGGTTCAATTCCATCATATCAACAACCATACAGACTGCAGGCTGACAAAGTCTGTCTTTGGATGAGCGAAAGTAGCAGGTACACCCCCCGAAAAGCATCCTATAGTTCCAGCAAAAGAGAGCTGAGTACAAATGCTCATGATTCCAGATTTTTTTTGTGTATAAAAACAAAACATTTTTAAAGCAATATACCAATTTTCTTTAACCCTCCCATAATGTTCAAAAATGCTTTTCCATAAACGTGAATAGTAATATCTTTGCTTGTGTAAATTAAATCTGATGGCTAAAATATGTTTACAGTCCCTTGAGAGAGCTGGTTTTTACTAAATCATGAAAAAAGATATATGCTTATCATGCTTTTGTATAATTGGGAAGCAGGTTGGCACCGTCCTTGAGTTTGCTATTATATCTAATGACCTTGATCCATTAAATCATTTGTGTACCTGACACATCTACTATCGTCAGCACATAACATACTGGGTTTCTGCTATTTTTTGTTTCTTTTTTTTGGTCAAATGCGCAATTAATGTATTTCCCTACCCCGCTCACAAATAGCAAGATGTATAGTACACAGACAGAATAC